GGGGGGGGGGGGGGGTTGAGGAGGGGAAAAGGTATTGGAGGATGAGGAATATCATGTCTGGAGAGTAAGGGTTAAGAGAGAAGGGGATATCACCTCCAGAGAGCAAGGGCTAAGAGAGAAGGGGTGGGGAATAGAATCAAAACAGAATAGGTGTAGGGGGAGAAGAGAGACCGAGATGGAGGGTTAGGGGGAAGGAAGGTTGGAATGGGGGAACTGACTGAAAATAAAGTAGAGACGAAATATCTCTAAAGGGAAAGCTTTCTATGTTCCCCCTACAACATAGAAGTTCTATCCTCCACCTTATCCAACCGTCCATTTTTGAATGGAGGGCTAAGATTGCCCCAATCACAATGTCATGTTTCTACACTATTTTATTTTTAAATTTTTTTCTATGAACTATTTTGACACCAAAGTTTGGACGTCCATTCCCCTATTAATCTCGCACTAACGAAACATATAGAAAAAATATTTTCAATAAAATAAAATGACCAAAATACCCCTGAAAGTTTCAAGGGGTATTTTGGTCATTATTTTTTATTGAAAAATTATTGTTAATACTTTTTATAGGTGCGTCCCAATGAGAAGATGACACGTACCAAATTTCATATTCAGAAATTTTGTATTAAAAAACTAAAAATAAAATGCTTTGAGACGTCGGATCTAAGATCAAATGGTGAGTGGTTCTCTTGATAAAAAATGGACGGCTGGATGGTAGGGGAGGATAGAACTTCTATGTTGTAGGGGGAACATAGAAAGCTTTCCCATCTCTAAATTTTTTTTTTTTTTTTGGTAATAGTTTTTCTTTTTCCTCTATTCCCTTTTTTTTCGTTGTCTTTTTTTCTTTTTTCTTTATTTTTCGAGGGGAGGAGGTGAGAGAGAAAGGGTAGAGGGAGAAAAGGGGGAGGAGGGAGGGTTTGAAGAAGAGACCGGGGAATGAACGCACCTGTTGAGAGAAAATAAGGGTAGGAAAGGAAAGGTGTTGTAGGCACCTTCCTTGGCGAGGTGATCTGCAGCTGAGTTGGTCCCTCGGAGAATGTGTTTAAATATCGCATGCGATGATTCATTGCAGATGAGGTAGATGGAATCAAAAGTGGAGGTAAGTGGCCACAATGGTAGAGGGAGGTTGGATGCCAAGCTAACAACGTTATTGGAGTCGCATTCAACCTGAATTGCTGAATAAAGAGTGTTGTAGTGGATTATCTTCTTGAGTCCTTCTAGCAAGGCTACAACTTCTGCATTGGTGGAATCAGTGATTCCCAGGGCCTTGAGAAAGAGAGGAATAGGCCATTGGAATTGGCCAGAGTGCCCTCATATCCAGAGGGACTGGGATGCTGAAAGATGCACCATTTGTGTTAAGTTTTGATATTGCTATGGCGTCTTCATCTCAGTTCATGGAAAATCATTCGGAATCCATGCCTGAGCTTTTGTTGTTCTCATGATTGAATCAACTTATGTGGATTCCATTTCTTCGGTCATCAATCTTCTATCCAATGGTTTGTCTTACCAAGTTAGGATTTTGGTTTAACATTTTGCCAAGCTTAGCAGCCATGCCTACACTAGAGTGGACCACGAAGGATGGACTATGGTGGTCTATAGAAAGACTGGAAATCTAATGGTCCTATGGTCCATGCTAGAAACCATACTCTTGGGACTATGGCTGGTCGCAACCCTAAGGTGGGCCTCGTAGGCTGGCCCCAGGCCTGGTACGAAGCTCATCTACTAACGCCTCGGGATTCCCTCTTAGCCATCCATCCTACGATTCCATCTCAATCCATCTCTCCGCCTGCCTATTGAACGCCACCTCTCACCATTGCCCCTAATGCTTCTCACCACGTGTCATCTACCGCTCAACCTTGTCTATTTGTTGGTCCACCCTCACTCTTCATCTTCCTCTGAGTGTCTTTTGCTGACCTCTTGTCATGTTTCCATGGGGGAAATTAATGCTCACCTTAATCATAAAGTTTCAGGCCCATCGCATGTGCTATCAATCAGTTTGATATCACTCCATCCTCTTATGACTCAGGCCCAGGGGAACTTCTCACTTTGGACCAACAACAAAACTGAGGAAATCAGGTTCCTGATAGATGTTCCTTATGTTAGCAGGATGAAGAGTCAGTCAATCACCTCTTCCTTCATTGTCAGCTCACCCATTCTGTTTGGTCGCCTTTTTTTTCAGCTTTTTGGGGATTCTCTTTGCACTTCCCCTCTCCATTTTCCAACTGTTTCAGGTCCTTTTTCTCTCCCTTTTCCAAAGCCAGTAGATGCCTCTGGATCATAGAGTTTTAGCTTTGTTGTGGAGGGTTTGGAGGGACAGAAATGCGAGGATCTTTCGTAACATGGCTAGACAGTCTCGGTCTCTTTTCGACGGCATTGTAGCTGAATTATACTTTTGGGCACAAAAAATACCAGTGCAAGTAACTTACGGTTGTCCAACTTCCAAGTAATTGGATAACGTTGATGTCCCTTGCTCCTGTTGGGCCTATATACCGAGCAGTTTGAAGAACCCATCCACAGGCTTTCTCAAGCTCAATACGTATGGCTTCTCCATAGGTAACCCAGGTCAATCAGGCATAGGGGGAACCATAGCCGACTCTGACAGGATCGTGCTCTTTTTCTCTGGTTCTATGGGTTTAGGGGACTACACAACTGCTGAAACCATGGCTTTACTTGAGGGCTTGTTAAGAACCATACCTTTTCTCTCCTCTTAAAGGGGTCTTTTGGTGGAAGCGGACTCTAGGAGTGTTATAGCATGGGCATCCAAGAGAGCTCAGCTCCCGTGGAGGCCCACATATATTTTTTATCACATTTTCTTTTTATGCAGGGGTACTAGGGTGACTTTGAATCATATTCAGAGTGCTGCCAATGCAGCAGCAGATAGATTGGCAAAAGGAGCCCTGGGAATAGTCAGAGTGACTGTTAAATACTTCTTTTTCACTTCCCTCATCTGTTATGTAGGATTCTATTTTGCTTCTGGAAGCCTACCCTCTTCCACTCTCATCTTTTCTCATCCTTTGATAGCCACTTATCTCTCTGTGCATGGTTGCTTTTGTTCCCTTTAGGTTCTTCAAAAAAAAAGAGGATAAAAAAGAGAAAAATATAATAAAAAAATGATTGAGAAACAAAAAAGAGAAGAGGAAGAAAAAAAGGGAAGCATGTTGCTGGTCGATGATCTTGGATTTTATCTGCTGTTGTTATCTCCCTTTCCTTTTTTGCATTTCTTACCATACTCTTATATCTTACCCTCCACTCTACAGTTCTTAGAGCTCTGTTTCTGTTTTGGTTTCATCTCTCTCTCACTCTCTCTCTCCCGCCCTCTCTATGCTCTCTCTATCCCCCTTCTGTTGCTGTCTTTTGCATAATTTCTTGCGCCTTTTCCTGTAGTCTTCCCCTCAATCTCTCTTTCTCCTATCTTTAGCAAATCTCTTTCACCTCCAACCTTTTGGTTTTGAACTTCTTTTCCTTCTGTACCTAACTTCTTTTCCTTCTGCACCTACTTTTTGCTAAGTTTATGGTCCTTTTCCTGTAGTGTTTATATTTCTTGCTTCCATCCTTGTAAAGTCTCTTCTGTCACCATTAGCTACACTCGTGCTATGTGCTTTCATCTTGCTTCTTCTTCGGTTCAAATCCTTTGATCTCTTTTTGCCTTTGTAGATAGTTTTTGGTAAGTCTAGGTTTTTCATTGTTTTTTTACAGTCTAAGCACCCATCTAGTGAGATATCTTTACTACTTAGGTGTGGTTTTTATAATTACTATTATTATTAATACAAGTTAACCTTTTCTCCAAAAAAAAAAAAATACTTGGAGGAGAATTTGGGCGGTATGGATTATTGCCACAGGATATGATGAACTTGACTTTTCTCAAAAAAGATATGATGAACTTGACTTTACCAAAGTAGACACTAAAGAGACTGTGTTCCCATTCTATTCTGTAAGTATCCAAATCGTCTTCAGAGCTTCCACAGTACAAGTCTCTTATCAGCCACAGTACAATTTTTGTAAAATTGGCTACGAATTGCCTCACGCACCATGTAAGGTGTTACTACCAAGATGGCACCACCCCTCAACTCCTTCCCTAAGCGACAACTACCCCACCCCAACCAACCAAAAAAAAAAAAAGAAAAAGAAAGAAAGAAAAGAAAAGAAAAGAAAAGAAAAGGAAATCTCCTGCACTAAGCTATTCATCACCATTCAGACAGCTAGTTGATGGGGTGACTGGTAAATCATGGGCATCAGGGAAAGTTGTGGGCTTGCAACAGGATCCTATGAGATGGGAATAGCTTACTTGACAATTCTCTTGAAGGCAATGAACTCATTTCTTAGAAAATAGGAACTGTTGACTATGGGTGTGTACGGTTTTCTGACAATCAAGTAAGAAAATTGCGGCAATGTTCCAGATAGATATATTCTGTTATGTGATGCTAGGTGCATGGCCTCTCTGGTCTCATCCAAATGTTCCAGATTGGTTTTCGTCGGACAGGCATTATACTTAATTATTTAATGGTGCCAGGATTAACCTGTTGTTTCTGTCTTTTTTCAATTTATATTTGGCAATGTGCAGCTTTTCTCTGTCTTCATGACAGGTGTAATTTATTGATTCCCAGGTGATGAATGAAAATAAATGATTAATATCCCTATGTGAGCTACTTGTAGGTAAACTTTGTATCGAGGTTTCGCCTGCCTCAAAGATTGCTTATATTTCAGAAGAGTTGTGCATTGGATGTGGTATTTGTGTGAAGGTTTGTATATTGTCGTACATAATTTCTGGGTGAATTGATTTACTTTAGTGAAATGAATCAAGCTTATTATTGTTTTTGTTGCATGTAGAAATGCCCATTTGATGCTATCCAGATAATCAATCTGCCCAAAGATTTGGATAAAGATACAACTCATCGATATGGCCCAAACACGTTCAAGTTGCACAGGTTAGTGCACTTGCAAAGCTCTTTTGTTCAGAAGTTATTTGTAGGTTATCCTATCATACATATTTCTGATATGTAGTTTTCCAGGTTGCCAGTTCCAAGACCTGGGCAAGTCCTTGGACTTGTTGGGACAAATGGCATAGGGAAGTCAACTGCTCTCAAAGTTTTGGCTGGGAAATTGAAACCTAATTTGGGTCGGTATAATGTAAAGACTTCTTCTGGAACCTTTTCTCCTCTTACAATTTCTTGTGAACCTTATGGAAAATTTCTCATTTACCTTTGTGAAAAAAACATTTCTAGTGTACCATAGGGAAATGTTTAATGCTAGTTGTTTCTGTGCAGAATCCTCCTGATTGGCAGGAAATATTGACATATTTCCGGGGATCGGAGCTTCAAAATTATTTCACTCGTATATTGGAAGACAATTTAAAGGTGCCTGGATTCACAATATCTTTATCTAATCGTTGTAAAGAGTGAGTGTGTTTAGTTATTATATGACACTACTACCATCATTGAAATGCAATTTGTGTGGGATGGAAGTGTATGTCACTTGGCGAAAGAGATTTACTCGCCTATGGTAATATATTATATAGTAATATATATTAATATATATTAATATATATTATATATATTATATAGTAATATATATTAATATATATTATATATATTATATATAATATTATAATATATACCTTGATATAATGTATATAGTATATTATATATTTACATTTATTTTATTAATGTAACTGTATTATATATAATATATATGTATTGTGTATAATATGTATAATATATAATATTTATAAGATATTATTATTAATATATATATATATATATATATATTATACCTTTTCAAGGTATATAATATATTATATATTTATATTTAGTTTATAAATGCAACCGTATTATATATAATATATATTATGTATAATATATATAATACATATTATATATTTAATTAATATAATATATTTATATTTCAAAATTTTGCATCTTTTGATGGGGTACATAATATGAAATGCATCAAAGGCTTTCCCGTTTGCTTACTATACCAACATGTATGAGGGGAATAGCGTTGGAAGTGATCCTATGAGGCTTTCAAGTTGAATATTGATGGGCTTAAGACAAGACAATAGAAATTGAAGAGATGTGAGGGAGCAGCCGGATCGCATTGATCTTGTTCTCAAAAGGCCTAGATTTGGATTGTGCACTGTGTGATAATCTCTTACTAGAAGCTAAATATAGAAGTGACGAGGTAGGGTAGTAGGTGAGGACCTGCATACTCTTAGGTCTTGGGTGCTTAAGAGGGATTTGCGGAGTTTGGCTAATAGTTAATTAGGGAAGGGAAAATTATGCACCCATTGAAGCTTCACCTGTCGATTTGGTAAATACCCTCCCAAAATCAATTATCTAGACATCCTACCCCCCAATACTTTTTCTCACACCCTAAACCCCAACACTATTATTTCTTGCATTTACCCCCCTAGTCAAATAGTCAAAGGATTTTGGGACAAAAATGCCCTTACTTTCTACACCTAGTCACGTGTCATTGGGTCTATTCTCTCTACCTCTATGCCCATACTCTCTCTCTACCCACACTCTCTTTCTCTCTACAAAAAAACCCATTTTGCTCTCTCTACCTCTCTCTATCCATCCTCTCTTTCTCTCTCTACTCGCCCTCTCTCTCACTTTGTCTCTCTATCCATCCTTTGTCTTTCTCTCTTTAACCGCCCTCTATCTTTCTCTCTGCTCGCCACCTATCTCTCTCCCCATCTGTTGTCCATCGCTCTACTTGCCCTCTGTCCGACATTCTCTCTCTACCCGCTCTCTCTACCTGTAAAAAAGAATTTCTGTCTTAAGTGGTTATTTTCTGGAATACCATGTGGAGTGTCGGACCGCAAAAAAAATTGTGGTCCGGCAGCCACAGTGCCAGACCGTATGGTTCTCTAGAAAGATATTGTCCTATAATGCGGTCCGGCACTGTGGTTGCTAGATCGCATAGTTCTCTAGAAAGATATTGCCTTATAATGCGGTCTGGCACTGTGGTTGCCGGACCGCATAAAATAGACTTTTTGAACTCAATGACTTCATGCCACTAATTATGTTGGCAGCCAGATGTAGCCTTTTAAGAACTCAAAATTGTTCTTTTTTAATTGTTTAATTAGTGATGATGGGGGCAATTTATAACAATTATGGCTTAAAATCTCATGAGCATCGATTTAACACCATTTTGCGGGTAGAGAGAGCAGGTAGAGAGAGAATGACAAAGAGAGGGCGAATAGAGAGAGACAATAGATGGAGAGAGATAGATGGCGGGTAGAGAAAGGGAGGGTAGAGTGAGAAAAATGGATAGAGAGGACGGGTAGAGATAGAAAGAGAAAGTGGGGAGGTAGAGAGGTATAGAGATATAGAGATAAAGTGAGACAGAGGGCGAGTAGAGAGAGAATGAGAGGACGGTAGAGAGAGCGAAATGGGTTTTTTTTGTAGAGAGTGTGTGGGCAGAGAGAGAGTACATACAATTAGAGGTAAAGAGAATAGACCTAATGACACGTGACTTGGTGTAGAGAGTGAGGGCATTTTTATCCCAAAATTCATTGACTTTTTGACTAGGTGGGGTAAATACAAAAAAAAATAGTGTTGGGGTTTAGGGTGTGGGAGAAAAAGCATGGGGGGGTAGGATGTCTAAAAAGTTGATTTTGTAAGGGGGGATGGGGTATCTATAATTTTCCCATTAGGGAATTTGGTTGACAGTTAGTAATGATGGTAGATATTTGTTTTGGGTGATCTTTGATTGGAGCATACTGCATGCCATAGCTGTTTGATGGTTCTGAAGATCCAATCAATCTTTGTTGTCTCATATAACTTACATTTCTTACATTGACAATGACAATGACTATATATTAAGTGTGGACTATCATTGTTTGACACCTTGACTTTGACATCTAAAATAATCAACATTTTGATAACTGCGATAAATCAAGATCATCTTGTTTCATCATTATAATTTGGATCCTCAATGGAGGAATATTTCCGGTCCAACACTATACCAAATTGTTGGCATGGCTAGATCATTTTGCTAACAAAGGAATCAGTCTGATTGGAAATAGATTCTTTCATATTCTTTTCTAGAAAATTTCTTTACTTACTCTCTTGGTATTAAAAGGGAGATATGTGGCACAAAGTCCGATAATTATTATCTTTTTCTTCTAATAGGCATCTCCGAGATTGTATTGATCTTCTGCCTATGAAAAGAATTACGACCAACATCAGACATAATACTCGAGTATGGATTTTGCTTTATCCTGTCGGTGTGGTCGCGTCAAATTGACGTGCTATTTTCTGCACGTGAATAGAAAACTGGTTCTCATCTATAATTTTTTGAAAGTTGGTTAAAAAAACTTTGTTTTTTTCCGTTTGTAGAACTAGAACTAACTTTTAGATGCAATTGTAATGTTCACCTCTAACCTCTCTGAATAATCAAACTTTTGAAAGCACTACCCTGTCACATGTTCTTATGACTATGGATACATATGAGAAGTCTGTGGCACGTTCGATCATTATACTTCTGCTTTTTTTTGCTTTCTTTCTTGTATCTCTCGTTGAGGGCACGAGCTAGTAGACCAGAGTTTTTAATGCACAGTTATGTGCGCCTCTGTATGCAGCTCAAATTGCTTGCTGCTTACTCACTGCATGCTTTATGATTTATATGTCTTTGTTTCTTTGTGCTCTCACTGTGTTAGCACGAGTGGTTCATTAGCGAAAGGATAATGGAAGCAAATCATGTGGCTCTTATTTGCTATACATGGTTCCTAATTTTCTCTGCCTCCTTACGTATTTTTTGTTGCTTGGATGTGTTACGAAGAAAATTTGCAACGTAGTGCTATTGTCCATACTCGATCAATGACTATTGTGATGATTTGACAGGCTATCATAAAGCCTCAGTATGTTGATCACATACCTAAGGCAGTGCAAGGGAATGTTGGTCAGGTGCTTGATCAAAAAGATGAGAGGGAGATGAAGGCTGAACTCTGCCATGATCTAGAGTTGAATCAGGTTATAGATCGAAATGTTGGGGACCTATCAGGTGGAGAACTGCAGAGGTTTGCTATTGCTGTTGTTGCAGTTCAGAATGCTGAAATATACATGTTTGATGAGCCATCAAGTTATCTTGACGTAAAGCAAAGGCTAAAAGCCGCACAAGTAGTTCGATCTTTACTCCGTCCGAACAGGTTCCTTTAATGCCCACAACTCCATTTAAGTTTCACATTGCTTATCCATCAAATCTTATTCTTACTTGTTATTGGGTTTGACAGCTGAGTTTCTTTCTTTCCTTTCCAGCTATGTGATCGTTGTTGAACATGACCTGAGCGTCCTTGATTACTTATCTGACTTCATTTGCTGCCTTTATGGGAAGCCTGGAATTTATGGAGTTGTGACACTTCCATTTTCTGTCCGAGAAGGAATCAATATCTTTTTAGCGGGATTTGTTCCTACTGAGAATCTTCGTTTCCGGGACGAGTACCTGACATTCAAGGTTATGATAATTGTTTTGTATTATCATCCATAGTCCGCAAAACCTATACCCAAAGCCAGACTCGGTTAGTCACTGGGTCAGGTCTATCCGGGTCTTCGCAGGTCAACTTAGCAAGTTAACCCAGATTTTCAGTATTTTTAGAGGACTCCATATTGTCAAAAAAACTTCACAAAAAACTTCACTTGTGTGTGCAGGTGCTCACAGGAGCATGTGTGTGTGTGTGTGTGTGAGAGAGAGAGAGTATATAAGGTAGTAAATTTAATACATAAGGTTTATATCTTTAATATATTTGTGCATGTTTGGATATATTATAGTCTATATATAAAGGGGAAACAAATGGGAGGCAACTTAAATAAATCTCACCATTCTAAGTTATCCGTCCAAATTTTCGGGATTTCTCAATATATTCTTCTTTCTGAACTCATACCTGAAATCTTTTTTTTTCTTAAAATTTCTTTTCTATGTATAAATCGAATGAAGTTGCCAAAAAGTTGTATCCATCCCTCACTAAAAATCTCTTTTAGGTTTAATTCAAATATTGATTTAAAAGATATTCTATTGTGGATAAGAAGAAGGAATGAAAAAAAAATAAAAAATGTAGCTAAATATGTCTATAAAAAATAGGAATTATAAAAAGAGGAATTTCTAGAATTGTACTCATCTATCCAAAAAAAGAAAACTCAAAAAGGAAATTAGAAAATATTGACATTATTCAGCTAGAAAAATAGTCTTGAAAGAATTAAGAGTGAAATTGAAATCTCAAATGTTACTTTTCTAGTTGAAATGTTGAATATTTAATAAAAAATTCTAATCTTTCAGCAGGAGCATCATGCAACTCGCCATTTACTATTGAATTTATTCTTTTTCTGTTACAATGTTAGAGTTGTTGAATAAAGTTAAGAAAATCATTTTTTTTCTTTTGTCAAAAAAAGGATACAACTTAACTCGTTTGACCTGGTAAGACTGTCCGGGTTGAACTACTCATGGTCTGGATTCAGCTAGGTCAGTGTAGTCCAAAAGCGGGTCGAGGTCTGCTAGGTTAAGCACTAGTGCGACCCAGTTTGGGACCTGGCCTTGACCAGACCTGGTTTGGAACTATATTATTATGTCATTGTTATATGATATTGAAAGGCTTGCATTGCTCAGGTTGCAGAGAATCCACAGGAAAGTGCTGAGGAAATTCAGACCTATGCACGATATAGATACCCAACCATGAGTAAAACTCAGGGAAATTTCAAGCTTACAGTGGTTGAGGGTGAATTTACCGATTCTCAGATTATTGTAATGTTGGGTGAGAACGGGACTGGGAAGACAACATTTATCCGCATGCTTGTAAGAAGTTTTATCATTATTTTTTTGCCTGTGTCCTAAATCAGTCCTTTAAATGTTTCGAAGTTTTTGAGGTTGATGCTAATAATGTTGATGGCTACTTGTACTTCGATATTTTAATATAAAGATTAGAGGGTCTGCAAAATAATGACAAACTGAAAAAGGCTTTTATTTTCTTAGCCTTTTAATAACAAAAGAAAGGTTTTTTAATATGTCATTATGAGTTGTGGCTTCACCTTTAATATATCATTATTTGTTATTCATTGCTTTTTACCATTTAACCAGGCTGGTCTACTGAAACCTGATGTGATCGAAGGTTCAGATGTGGAAATTCCCGAATTTAATGTTTCTTACAAGCCCCAGAAGATTAGCCCTAAATTCCAGCACACTGTCAGACATTTACTGCATCAGAAAATTCGGGATTCATATATGCATCCTCAGTTCATGTCAGATGTCATGAAACCCCTTCAAATTGAGCAACTGATGGATCAGGAAGTTATAAATCTATCGGGTGGAGAGTTGCAGAGGGTAGCACTTTGCCTCTGTCTCGGCAAGGTATGCTGTCATTGTTCTATTGATCTGTTTATGGTTGAATGAGATGGTATGATCACGTATGTATCTCTTCTCTTTTCTTAATTTCCAAATTATGATGATCTAGAACTTAATTTAGGATGGTCATGTGTTATAATGGACCATATCGTGGAGGGGCTGTTATTTTAAGCAATGGTGATGGCTGTTATAATAGATATGGAGTAGAAAAAGAAATAACTATTATGAATTGAAAATTATTGTTGTGATGAACATAATTTTAAAATTGCCATACATAATGATATTATAACAGAGACATGAATGTTGCACTGGATACTATGCTTGTTCTTTTCTGCAAGTTTTGAAGACTCTTGTAACAGTTCTTATGCTGTTATATAATGGCTGTTCTATTCAATGTTCAAACACCCAATATTTGTGGATAGCTGGTGTTTTGCATGGTACACCCATTATGTCTCATAATGATAATGTAATTGGCCTGGTCTGTTTACATTATAATGGCCGTCACAATCGTTCATTTCACGGTTTTCTGGACCATCTTGTTAGACTTGATTATTCTTTTGTTTGAACAGGTTGATTGTTTATTGGCTATCCTGAGTTTCCTCGAGCACTGAAAGTTTTTTCTCTTTGGGAGTGTTTTAAGAGTCATCAATATCAAAGTTGTATAATGTTATATGAGTTAAATGCGCGGTTTAGAGGTTTCTTTTCAGCATGTTTATATAAATTTCTATTACACATGGAATCTCTACTTAGACTGGGTTAAGTAAACAAAGTGAAAGCCCTAAAAAGAAACATTGTCTATCCATTTATGATACTCTCCTCTTGTGCACTCATCTCTATGTGAAAATTGTAAAGATTGATATTTCTCTCTTGAGAGTCAACACTTATGAATTGTGATATCCATGCAGCCTGCTGACATCTATCTAATTGATGAGCCAAGTGCATATCTGGACTCCGAGCAGCGTATTGTGGCTTCAAAGGTCATCAAGAGGTTCATCCTTCATGCCAAGAAGACTGCTTTTGTTGTGGAGCATGACTTTATAATGGCGACTTACCTGGCAGACAGAGTTATTGTGTATGAGGGAAAGCCATCAGTGGATTGCACTGCAAATGCTCCTCAGTCCCTGTTGACTGGAATGAACTTATTCTTGTCGGTAAGGTTCCACTCTCTTCCTACTGTTTACTTGATTTGCTTTCTTTATGTTCATCTGTCTTTAATGGCTTTCTATTGGTTTTACTGCAGCATCTGGATATTACATTCAGGAGAGATCCGACCAATTATAGGCCTCGAATCAACAAATTGGACTCTACAAAGGACAGGGAACAGAAGTCTGCTGGGTCCTATTACTATCTAGATGATTGACAGTTTTTTTCACAGGTCTGCTTTCTTTCTTATTACCGGTTGATGAGATGCTTTTTTCTGACCTCTGTTTCCTCTCATCTACATTGCATCAAAAACCATTGGAAAATAAAATCAAATGAAAACAATTATCTAGGAAACTTGATGGCATTGATTTTTTTTTGGGAAATTGATAAAAAAACTCATTAGAGATGCACTATTTAACATTTTACACAATTGCTACTTTTCCAACTTATCATCTTGTGTTTTTTCATGGGTATTCTGAAATAAAATAAAAAAATTTGGATAAATTGTTAAATATTTCATATCTCATGGATAAATTGAACTTTGAGCTTGGTCAATGGAATAAATGCAGCCACCCAATTTCACATCCAATGGTCAAGATTAATTGTGACCACGTTGTACCAAATGTAAATGGTCTCATTGTATACTTTTCCTGGAAAATTGTTTCATGCGGCGGGGACCACATTTCTACATTTGAGGCCCCCGAAGTATAAAGCATCCATCTTAAAGATGGACGCAAATAGATGGTCCATCTAAACACAATTGAAACTAATGGTCCAAATTTTTTCTTAATAGAATTATTATTTTTTCAAAATATCTTTATTTTTTTCAAATTCATGTTCATGATCTCTATGTTAGAGATTACAGGTCCTTAAAAATTAAGTCCAAAAATCCATCTCAAAAATAGATTTTTTTAGAGGTGACTCATTTCGACATGGACTCGTAGAAACTGTGTCCTACTTTTCCTTTGAGAAATTTCCCCCTTTCTTTCTTTTTTATAACATTTGTTGATGGCATTGATTGAGTATGAAAAATAACTTATGAAGATGAGGGAGAGAGATTGTGGTGAGGAATTAATTACGAAGCTTAATTGCATTAATTTTTTTTCGAATAGTTGTTGATGCATTGATTGATATGAATAACTATTTTTTTTTGGTGTGGGCTGGGGGAGCGAGTCACTAAAGTTGCTTTCTCTCTGTCTCTCTCTCTTTATCTATCTATAAAGAGAAGCCCAAAAACGCACCCAAATAATGTAACTTACCAAAATGCCACTCATCATTTTCGAAAGACAAAAAGCCCTCCTAAAACTGGCCTAAATAGGAAAAATGAAAAAGGAAATGGCATTTCACTGTTTTTACTGTTTTATTCCATGGGTCGTTGGACTGGCTGGTTCAATCTAGACGGGTTGAACCGGCTGGTCCAAGCATCGAACTGGATATTCTTTGTTTCTATGGTGCTTTGAAGCGCCATGGTTCAGGACCTTTGAACTGATTGGTTAGGGCAACGGTTTACCAGTTTCTGGTCCAAACTAGCCAGCCTAGTCCAGTCTTAATTTCATTGGGTTTCTGTATCTGTGGTGGACTCTGTAAGTGGATATCAGGATGAAAAAAACCTTCGTCTGATGTGAGATGGGGGAAGGGGGAATTGTGACGGGAATTCTGGGGGGTTAGGTCTCGAGGTCCTTTTAGAGAAGAGATCGCGGGGGGACGTTGCTACCTCAAGGGGGTTACAGGAGAGTGATAGTGGTAACATCTGGTTTTCTAGTTGCTACACCTCTCTCTCTCTCTCTCTCTCTCTCTCTCTCTCTCAAATGCATACACACGTACATGCACAAAATCGTGCATGTATCTTGATGATTATTTTGTTTGCATTTGTTGATTAAGCTTGTATGGCTACTGGTTTTGTTTCCTTTCATCTTGTAGTAACTTGGAGTAGATGGATAATTTGGAGAATGCAAAATTTGTTTTGGTCATTCATGTACTGAATTTTCTACATGCTTCCAGCTGTTTGTGCAGGTCCTTGAGGTTTCAACTTCCATCCAAGCTGTGGAACATCTCAGTACTGAGAGGAACTTCTATTTATTTTTTGCATGCTGTGTTTGTGTGTTCTTCTTGAGCTCATCTTCAGTGGCGTGAATTAGGAATTAAAATAGGATTTTTTTTTGAATGGGCTGTCTAATAGTTAGTTACAATCAACTTTCAAGGATTTTGGAAATTAGTGCTACCTCTCATTTTGTGTGTAGTCGACCCCAGTGTATTATGCCCAGTTCATCCAGGATGCAGACCTTAGACCCATCCCTGGCCTTTGAAGAGGTTGGTTATATACTGTATGGCCCCAGAGGTTTGGGGTTGCAGAAGAGGATGGTTTTTGGGGGTTGCAGAAGAGGATGGTTTTGAAGTGCTCTCTTTTTTCTATTCGTTATATTTATCTATAGAAAGTTTAGACAAATTGATTTGAAAATTTGATCAAACTGCTGTGTAAGTTAATAGTTTGGGAAAGAGTTCTTAATCTTCCAATTGAGTATTCTAATAAGGATTGAAATTACTGAATCGTAGATTTCAAGAGTTTCCCTGGGCTTCTCTGATTCGAAAAACTGTGGGATGCACTGGGTGTCAATTCATTGTTGTTCACTTCTTGACCCACTTCCTATGGTTGGTTTTCATGTTTAGGTGCTAAGGTGATTTAGTGCTGTAAAAAGTGGTGGCGGATATCTTCTTATGAAATCTTCATATCATCTTTTATTGAGCTTACGTACAATTATGTCCAAGAGTTTAAAAAATGTTCCTAGCCAGGGTGAGTTCTAATCCAGGCCTATTTTCCCTTTATCTAACATACATTTTCCTATATGACCATTCACTTTTAGTACATGGAGGGTATGTGCAATTAAATGTAGTTTTTATTTTGAGTTTGTGCCTAATGAATTACATGCCTCTAGCCACTCGATTTCACTTCTAAATAGTATATGGTCTTATTGTGTACTTTTTCTTGTTATTTTGTCAAATATGCCCTCATTTTTATCTCTAGTAATTGTGTGCTTGGCAACTGGAAACTTGTGTCTGAGGCATTAGGCCATCGGCATCTGTAGAAACGGGATGGACATGGGCACATGTTCAATGTTTTCTATTTTTCTTCAAAAACTTGAACGAACAAAATCCTATCTATATTTGGACTCCATATCAACCCTACGTAGACAATGAGAACTTCTAAATTCTTTAAAATGGAAAGCAATGGAAAGCAGGAAGCTCATTCCCAAACTAAAGTAAATAAGTCCAACCAACATAATAATTAACATAAATTAACCTAATCCCAAAAGAGTCCTCGTTGAGGCCGATGTGGCGTTTTCTTTTTTCATTTATTTCATATGGTTAGGACTTTATATAAATCACATTTGGTTTATTGATTCGTTGCTTCTAATCATATTTGGTTTATTGATTCGTTGCTTCTAATCATATGTCTGGAGTGTACACAACTTTATTTACTAAACCATATCAAGGCAATGGTCATAATTTCACAACTAATGGGGAGAAATTGGATATTACTAGTATTGATTATCTCTCACTTTTGTGTTTTCCATGGTGTACATTTTTATTTACCATATGTGTTATTGGTTCCTAAATTAATTATTAATAAAATATTTGTTGGCCAACTTGTTGATGTTGGTTACAATGTTTAATTTTCTCATAATGGTTGTGTGATATCAAATCTACACACTAAGATATTGAAAGAAAATGGGTGTAGAATTGGTCGTCTGCTTGCTTTGGAGTTTGAGAAACCAAGACGTGACGTTTTTTTCTTTCTCCTTCGAGTTTTGATTTTTATGTTTGGCATATGTAGCATCAGAGATTTGGTCATCCGAAAGTAAATAAATTAGATACGCTTTGTTTCGTTCTGGTTCTTTGTCTAATAAAGTACTTGCCTTAAATTTTGTAAATAAGTCTTGTATTAGTTGTTTTTTGAAAAAAATGCATCGGTTTGCCTTTTTTCGTTCGAGTAGATAAAACGACACCACCTTTATCTTATTCATAGTGATGGGGGAATACTTATCACATGATGTTCAATAATATTTGAAAACTTAAAGTATCCAATCATATAAAACTTGTCCATGTGCTCTATAATAAAATAACATAGTCGAGAGGAAAAACCGTCAAATCATGGAAGTTGTTAGGACCTTTACGCATGACTCTCATATTCCTCGTAATTTTTGAGTTGAAATTGTATCAATAACTGTTTATCTCATAAACCATCTTCCATCTTGATTATTTATTGTTCATCTTGATTATTTTTTTCTTGTATATTTTTTTATGTGCTTGGTTTGTTTATCTTCCCGCACATGAAAGGACAATTTTTTTTGTTCAAAACAGCCACTTGTGTTTTTATAGGTTATTGTCCCGACCAAAAGAGATTTTTATGTTACGATTCAGCAGCTCATCGTGTACATGTTTCTCACAATGTCGTCTTTCTAAAAAGCCTATTTTATTATTCTTCAATTGTTAAATCAATTGGTCCTATGCTACTTTATTATCAAATTTCTCATATGCTAGTTTCATTGATAAATCACTACATCTTTTGGTACATCAACAACATGGCAAGCAAAACCAATCCATACCTCTTTAACTCATCAACCAGAGCAAGGTTAGACTTTTGCCCTACTTGTAAATGCTTCTCTTCCCTCTTCTTTTTCTCCTAACCCAAGTTCTTTTGATAACTCTACCTAATTACGATGTTCTTCATGTGTAACTCTCCCACTTGACCGATATTAGTTTTTTCTGGTGATTTTGACCTTTCAATACACATTAAATATTTGTTTACTTTTATTGATATTGTTGATATTCCTTTCAAGCACCTAGATCCTTGTTTGCCCCCGTATATACCGTTGATATTCCTTCAACCTACCAGCAAGTCTCTATTATGTCATGTTGGAAGGAGGCTATGGATGTAGAGATAAGTTCCTTGTTGGAAAATGACACTTAGGAGCTTGTACATTGTCCTCATAACACATCTATTATTGGAAGTAAATGGATCTTTTTTATGAAGCTTAACTATGATAGGGAGATTGAGCGATATAAAGCACACAACAAATTGCTCAAGGGTACTAGTAAGAGTATGACAAAAGCTATGAAGAAACATTTTCTCCAGTTGCTAAAATGGCCACTGTACGTACAAAAATTACGCCACTTACTCGTCAGTGGACTATCTCTCAGATGGATGTGAAGAATGCATTTTTTCATGGACATTTGAAAGAGACAGTATATATGCGACCTCCTCCTAGGTATTGTCATGATAACTCTAAGGTCTATTGTTTGCAAAAATCCTTGAATGGTTTAAAACAAGCTCTTAGAGCATAGTTTGGAAATTTTTGATAGGTAATTCTTGCTGTTGGGTTCACACAAATTGCTCATGACTTATCACTATTTACCCACCATTGTTTCTAAGGGATAACAATTCGTCTCTTATATATTGATGACATCCTTGCCACATGAGACAACCATGACAATACACAATATTTGAAAGAGCTTCTCAATCATTCCTTCAAAATGAAAAATTTAGGTCTATTGACTTACTTTTTTGGCCTAGAGATTTATTACTCATCTGATGGATATATAATTACCCAGAAGAAGTACACCAGAGATTTAATCAGACTAGCCAACTCCACTGATGATAAATGGGTGGATACATAAATGAAGGTGAATGTAAAATATAAAAAAGATAATGAGGACAAACTTCTAGATCTCACTCTTTATAGACAACTGGTTAGCAGTCTACTTTATCTCACTTTAACTCGTCCTGAAATATCATATGTAGTGCAAGTAGTTAGCCAATTTGTTTCAGATCCCACCGTATGCACTTCTTTGCTGTCTACTATGTCATTCATTATTTGCAATGTACATGCGATAGAGGGCTGTTCTTTTCCTCTCACTCTTCTCTACAGTTACAAAGCCATGTTGATGCGAACTGCTGGATGCCCAACTACTGGATGTGTGTATTTCTTGGAGACTCTCTCATATCATAGAAATGTAAGAAACAACAAACTATGTCGAAATCTTCTGCAGAAGCCGCATACCGAATCATGTCCTGGGCTTGCAGTGAAATCACTTGGTTGAGAGGTCTCTTAGATGACTTAAATATTCTTCATCGATCTCCCATGCAGTGTTCCATGAGCGCACAAAGCATATAGAAGTTGACTGTCAATTAATTCGTAAAAAATTCCTAGCTAGAGATGTTACACTCACACACATTTTCTCACAACAACAACTTACAGATATTTTCACCAAGGCAATGACTCAGGCTCGTCGTGACTATCTCATTGACAAAACCTTAGTTGGTGGAGGGAGTGTAGAGATCATTGAAAATCTTGTAATTACTTTGTATATTATATCATAACCTTAGTTGGAGGAGGGAGTGTAGAGATCATTGAAGATCTTGTAATTACTTTGTATATTATATCATACATAGAATGTGTAATATTTACTATGTATATTACTTAATATACTCCATCTTGCTTGGCAAGTTAATTTGTTGTGCAAGTTGTCCCTGGTTGTATATCTACTTGTTGATATTAGTGAATGGATACACAAGTTTTTCCTTTTGCCTCTGTGTGTATGCCAATTGTAATTTGGACCTTTCGAGTCTTGTTTTCTATTGTAATCTCCATTCAATCAATAAGTAAAGCCTCACACCATTCTCTTGTGAATGTAGGTCACGATTTGTGGCTAAACCACATCAAATCCTTTGTGTTATGTGATGTGGTTGCTGTTGTAGTTTCTTTAATGTTATTGTTTGAATTCCATATTATTTCCATTGGTTGTTCTTGTGATCCTAGATGGAGAATAACTGCAATGCTCTCCCTTCTTTTTGTTTCTATTTCGGACTTTATAATTACATTTGAGTTCAATAAAGTTGTGGAATTTCTATATATATATATATAAAAAATAACTGCAATGCTACACAACCCACGATGATTTTTCCATCATCAACAAGCCCTAGGTAGTTTAAGTTTGGTTTTAGAAGTTTCTATGTTTGGCTTTCGTTCTCATGGCTAGGGAGACACTTTTTTTTATTTTATTGGCTATTGGGTTTGTACGTGTTAGTGCCCGAAAAGAGCTTTTTTTTTTTGTTGCTTCTTATTTTTATGAGTGAGAAAGTAGAGAAGAGATGGTGTAATTGTTGGGCTCTTTTAGGTTAGTAAATTCTGAGTCTCACTTCACTATTCTTTGTAGGGGAAGCTTTCTATACTTCCCTTATAGGATAGTACTTATAGGGAAAAGTTTATATAGAGCCAAGGCTCTAAACAATTAAATTGGAGCCTATCACAAAAATTTCACTAGAAGATATTATTTTTATGTTCAAATATCTTCAAATTAATCATCTCGATATCATTATGTATGGATATAAGAAAAAAATAGATTTTAAATTTTGGAAATAGTGTTTTTTGTAACGCATTTTTGGACTGTCAATTTTTAAGATTTTCAATTTTTCATAGATCTGTCGATCTACACTATTTTTAAAGCTTTAAAATTTTATAAATAAAAATAAAAATATATTTTAAAGCTATCACAAAGATTTTCAATATTGAAA